CCTGCCCGACCTCGGGCAGGTGGGAAGGAGCAGCCCAAGGACGCGGTGCTGACAGGAGCCTCTCCGGAGGGCAGCAGACCCGTGCCATGGGCTCCAGCCGCCATCCAGGGCTGGGGAGGAGCAAGAACGGATCACACCGGGGAATAGGGGATGGGAAACAGGGAGCTGCGTCCCCTCTGTCACCAAAGGCACCCGCTGTGGACCATGAGCTGGAACTCCCTTTTCTGCCTGCCATTACTTATGATGGTGAAACCTCACCTGGCAGCAGGATCCTATGGGACAATAGCCATATATATATGCAAAAATTTATATAGGTGTATTTATTTTTATGACTTGTCCACTGGAACCAGCACTTGCTGGCTCCTCGGGAATTCATCCATCCCACTCCTACTGCAGCATCGCTGCTGTGAGACGGGACTGCTGCAGCCTCAGTGCTTTTAGATTCACTCCAGAGAGCCCAAACTGTGCCAAAGTGGGTGATTTGGGAAGTGGTGACCTGTGTGGGGACAGCCAGGCTGACAAGAGGGATGGGTGGACATCGCTGCCTGTCAGTGCAGGAACACGCGTGGAATGGAGAAGCAGTGCCCGGGCGTGACTCTGCATTGAACAGCTTGGGCTGGAAGGGACCTTGAAAGGCTCTTTTGGCTCCAGGAAAGCTCCGAGGGCTGGATCGCCGGCCCTGGGGCTGCCGCGCGGCTCAGTGTGCACTAGGTGGCACGCAGCTGCAGGGAGAAGCGCTTGCCACAGCGGGGAGAGGCTTGGATTCGGGGAGAGAAAGGAAATCTCCACTGGGAAAAGCAGGCAGAAGGCAAAACGGGATGAGTTCTGCCCCTAATTAGCATTAATGGTGAGGTGAGTGTGGCCAGAGCAGGTAAGAGAAACACAAACCACAGGACTCGGCTGCAGAGTTTCCTGGCTGGATTTAGCAAAGGCAGGGATGGAAAGAGCCTTTTGATCGGGGTCAGGATGACAGGAGAAGGGGCTGGGGTTTCAAATGAGAATGGTAAATTTAGGATTGACATAAGGAAAGAATGTTTGATGATGAGTGTGGTGAGGCCCTGGCACAGGTTGCCCAGAGAAGATATGGATGCTGGAAGTGTTCGTGGTCAGGTTGGGTGGGGCTTGGAGCAGCCTGGGACGGTGGAAGGTGTCCCTGACCATAGCAGCGGGTTGGAACAACCTGGGCTGGTCCCTTCCAACATAAAGTGTTCAAGATTCTGTCGTTTCCCCCAAGAAAGGCAGGCAGTGGAACACAGAGAGCTGAGCTGAGCTCATGGGGCATCTCCCACTAGCAGCAGGGATGAGAACAAGTCCCTCTCAGTAGGTAAATCCCCAGGTTGGACAGCAAAGTCACCCAGCAGGAGGGGGATGCACACACCAGATCCATCCCTGCTTTGTCTTCCTGGTCCCTGGCAGGAACCAGCAGCAGCTGCTGCAGAGGAGAATGAAATGAAATTTCACCTATTATCCTTTGCCTGCAGAGGAATTTCTTCCTAATTCCTGTCACTTTGGGTTTGTCTGCTCAGGGAAATTAATCTGAAATCGAGTGGGCTGTGAATTCAAAGTGCTGCAGCAATCCCAGCAGAGCTTGGACAGGCAGTTTCCTGAGTGGCCAGGCTATTCCCTGGAGCACCAGGCTAAGCCTGGCAATTTAACAGAGCCTCAAGCGTCAGATTTTGTAGACATTAGTGTAGGACCTCGAGCCAAAACCGTGTGAGAGAGAGCAGCCACGGAGAAATTAATTCAACAGCCTTCCAGCACCACTGCAAGAAAAGGAGCAGGGGGAAGGCAAATATTTGGCTGGTTACCCCAGTGTGTGGATGGATCAGACAGGAGTTGATGCCTTGTTGGAGGACTCAGTGCTTTGCATACTGATTTGGGGAGCGTGCAGAGAAGGGTGTAGGAAAGAACAGCATGGGGAGGAAGGAATCCAGCTGGAAAGAAAAAAAAAAAAGGCATAAAGGATTAAATCTGGGGATCATTAAGGTAAAAATAATGTAAAATATAAAATATTTTTGCAGGCAGTGAGGATTGTGAGTCTGCATCCCTGTGAAAACAGCGTCCTTAGGGACAGCAGGACATTGAGGTTCACCTTTCAGACTCAGGGAAGATCTCTGCAGCCGCCCTCACAACACAGAACAGTTGGAGGAAGTTGTGCAGTGGGGTCTGACAGGCTCAGCTGGTCACCAGACCACAGATTCATGTTGCCCGTGGCTCTGTTTCAGGTTGTTGAACCATCATGGAATGCAGGACAAGTGGTGAAAAGGTGTGAGAAAAGGGAGACTGAGGACCAGCCATGCATTTGTACTGCTGAGATGAGGTGCCTCAGCCACTCTCTGTGCCTGGCAAAACCCTCCAGGGACCCTGATGCAAGATCAGATCACAAATCCCTGCTCAAAACTAAAAAAAAAAAATAAATCCACTGCAATTCAAGACTCTTCCCATAGCTCAGCCACCACCTGACTGGTTTATCTCCACCATCCTGCCCTTCCCTCCACCCAGGAGCTGCACCCAATTCACCTCTGCTCTCCCCCACCCTGCAGCCTTTATCAGTAGCACCTTCAGCCTCGGAGCATCACCCTGAGGCCTCACCCATCCTCTCTCACCTGCCAGGACTCCACACTGGGAGCATCCCTTTATCTCCCAGCCATGCCATGAAGGTCTGCAAGACTGGACAGAAACCCTTCTTCACCATCCCCAAATCTCCCTGGAACCTTTTCCTATTTAGGATCACAGGATATTTCATACCTGCCCACCCATGCAACCACATGGATCACATAGTCTCCTCCCAGCATGGCTTTATGAAGCATCCCTATCTATTTTTTAGGAAAAAAAAAAACCAAACCTTTGCATTGCTCTCCAGTTTCTAATTACAGCCGCAGGAGACAGGAATCCCAAGCACCTGAGTTGTAAATGTGAAATTTATTGCTTTAGCAGACACATTGCAAGCAGGCTATCAATCACTTCTGGCAATTATTAGTACTTTGTGAGTATTTTGAACTCAAGTATGTGACAGTCTCATCCATCCTGGAGCAGAGAAATCCATGGGCATTTGCATACGAGGCTGAGCTGTGGGGGGATGCAGCTCCAGAGGGTTTTCACTGGAGCTGTCGTGGTTATGTGCTTGGCACTGTACATTTTGGGATGAAAACCAACTTTATTGAGGCTCTGTGAAGATGAGTCTCACATGTTTAACCCTGGAATAAGAGTTTTATAATATCCCTCTATTCCTACAGTATGTAGTGGTTCTATATGTTATTTTTTTTTGCTGTTAACTACTGACTCCAAACATAATGTTCTTTATTTTATAAGGCTTTTAGGGCAGGTGTATCACGGCATGGGTGAATCAGTGCTGCTGGGTGTAAAGTCCAGGGAGGTTTCAAATAATTTGATAAGAATTGGTGAACACTTCCTGGTTCAGAAGGAATTATAGTGATTTTAAGGGTCTTTCTCAACCTAAATGATTCTCTGGTTCTGTGGTTCTTGGTGGGGGTCCCAGGAATGGGGAAAATCCAGGTGGGGTCTGACCTACCTCTAAGAGAGCATGAAGAAGTGATGCAGCACCCTCCAAGATGCTCCAGGATCAAAGGAATCCCTACATAAACACACAGATCTTGCAGGGGTGGTGATGGAGGTGCAGCAGCTGGGAGGGAGCAGGGCTGTGTCCTTGGAGAGATCTGTAGCACACCGTCCTCACCCCAAACACGGAGCAGGCGACTCCACGGCTTTGCTCCGGAGTTCCTTGGATGCTCATTACCACACTCAGTCCCGCACACTCACACTCTTTATCACACTTATTACCATAATCACTTATTACCATATTTATTATCACATTCATTACCACACTCAGTCCCACACACTCACACTCTTTATCACACTTATTACCATATTTATTATCACACTCATTACCACACTCAGTCCTGCACACTCACACTCTTTATCACACTTATTACCATAATCAATCATTACCATATTTATTATCACACTCATTACCACACTCGGTTCTCCACACTCACACTCTTTATCACACTTATTACCATAATCACTTATTAACATATTCATTATCACATTCATTAGCACACTCAGTCCTGCACACTCACACTCTTTATCGCATCCACACTCTATCACACTCATTACCATATTCATTATCACATTAATTACCACACTCGGTTCTGCACACTCACACTCTATCACACTCATTATCACACTATTATCACACTCATTATCACCCCCGGTTCTGCACAGTCACACTCTATCACACTCATTACTACACACTCACACTCCTTATCACACTCATACTCTATCACACTCATTACCATACTCATTATCACATTAATTACCACATTCGGTTCCGCACACTCACACTCATTACCACACTCATTACCACACTCGGTCCCGCACACTCGTGCTCATTACCACACTCACTCATTATCACTCTCATTACCACACTTATTATCAGACTCATTACCACACTCACTCATTACCACGCTCATTACCACACTCATTACCACACTCACTCATTACCACACTCACTCGCGTCCACGCTCATTATCACGCTCATTACCACACTCATTACCACACTCACTCATTATTACTCTCATTACCACACTCATTACCACACTCACTCATTATCACTCTCATTATTACTCTCATTACCACACTCATTACCACACTCACTCATTATTACTCTCATTACCACACTCATTATCACACTCACTCATTATCACTCTCATTATTACTCTCATTACCACACTCGCTCATTACCACACTCATTACCACACTCAATATCACGCTCATTACCACACTCACTCATTACCACGCTCATTACCACACTCGCTCATTACCACACTCACTCATTATCATTCTCATTATCACACTCATTACCACACTCACTCATTACCACACTCACTCATTACCACACTCACTCATTACCACGCTCATTACCACACTCACTCGCTACCACGCTCATTATCACGCTCATTACCACACTCACTCATTACCGCCCCGGTCCCACCCCGCCTCGCGCTCGCCGTTCCTCTCCCTCACGCCTCCACCAATCACGTCCCTCCCTCCCCGCCTGGCCCCGCCCCTTGGCCCCGCCCCTCGGCTCGCCCCGCGGCTGTCCGGCGTGCGCACGCGCGGAGGCTCCGTGACCGCGGGCCGGGAGCGGCGGCGCCGGGCCCTGCTCGGGGTGAGGGGCCGGGGGCGGCTGCGGGGCGATGGAACCGGGGCACAGCGGCGCTGGGACGGGGAGCTGGGCTGGGCTGGGTTGTGCTGTGCTTTGCTTCGCGGGGCGGGCACCCGCGGGCTGGCACCCCCGACACGCCGTGCTCTGTGCCGCGCAGCCCGGGCCGTTCGCGAGGGTCCGCCCGGGCCGTTGCGGCCGCTGCGGGCCCGGCCTGCCTGGCGGCCCTGAGGCACGGCCGCTGCTCCCTTCACAGCAGGCCCCCGCCCCTCCGCAGCTTCCGGAGCGCTCGGTGCCACCCTTACACCCCCCGGCACCCGTGGGGCCCGGTGGTCTCCGTGGTACCGGGGAGCCGGTGGGCGGCCGGTGCTGCCCGGGGCCGGGGGGAGCTCCCTGAGGGGCGCGGGGCCCCGAGCCGGCGGCTCCTCGGGCGGGACCTTCCGGAGCTCCTGCCACGGGCCGAAGGCGTTGGGGCGCTGGAGGAGCCCTCCAGGTCGTGCCAGGTTCTCACTCACGAGTCAGTGATCTCCCCGCAAATAAATGACCCGCCTGGGTGCCCAGGAGGAGCCAGGAGCAGTCGGGTTGGACGAAAAGTGTGCTGAGATCCCGTGTCCAGGTGGGATCCTGTGTCTGGGGGTAGCTGCCCTCCTCTCGCTGCCTCGGTTTTTCAATTCACCCCTGCCCGAAACCAGCCCTCGGCTTAGCTGACGGGGAAACGCTTTGTTCCGCCTCAGTTGCCGTCTGTATTTTCCTGTATTTTCCCCCTCCAAGGGGAACTTGCTTAAAAGCTTGTTTTGAATGGAAGCAGTCCAGGTTTGGAGCTGCTGGGTTTATTTTTTGTTGTTTTGGCTGTCAACCCAGCCACCTTGTGCCGTGAGGATCAGCAGAGGTTGGGAGAGGGCAGGACTGGGATGGATCTGCGTGCTTGGAGTTATTACTGTGACCCTTCCCTACTGCCGAGCTCTGTTCTTTCTCTTTGGTGGGTGCTTGTGTAAGGAAAGGAGTGTTTGGGTATGAATTACCTGGCAACAGCTGCCAACCCTGTTGCATCGGGTTTTGCTGTGCCCAGAAGTGCAGCGCAGCTGGTGTGGGAGCCCTGGTTTGGGGTCGGGGGAGGACACAGGGCGCTTGTAATGCTGTGCCCCATCTTACTGCAGCCCTGTGGCCTCACTGTGCTTTATGTGCTCCCCTAATCCCTGTGTAATCTCTTCCCATGGGATCTTTGGTGCCCTCCCAGTCCTGACTCTTAAAGCAGTGTCATGATGTTTAAAGATCCCTCTTGGGCTCTCTCTTTTCTGAGCAACCCGCTGAAAAGTCTCTATTTTACCAGTCTGGTGATTTTTATGCTTAATTCAGCCCAGCTCAAGAGCTCCCAAGGCTCTTTTTATTTTCCAGGTACAATGTCACATTTTGTGATAACTTTTATCAGCGGTGGCAATTCAAGTTGAGACACTTAACAAAAGCAGTTGGCATTTTTAGAAATCATCTCAGACCCATGAATTTTAAGATCCTGCATTTAAAGAGAAAGAAAATTCTGCTTTCTGGAAGTAGAACAGAGAATTAAACACAGCTTTCAAAGGCTTTAATTCCTGTTCTCCAGCTTTCTCACCACCATTTGCTGGAGTTTGAGGAGCAGGGAGTGAAGCTGGAAAACACATCTGAAATGCACTGTTTTTTTCCTGTCCAAGTCCCCAATTAAAGCCATGTGGACAAATGTTTCAGAGGTTGTGCTGGGCATAAAGTTCCAATCAAACAAGTCCATCTTCAAGCTCTGAGCCTGTGTTACCAAATACCTTCTGAAGGGCATCTGGCTATATTTAAGTCTGCACTTGAGTTAGCCAGGGTTTTGTTTTCACTGGAGGAAGGGTGGCCCAGAGGATTTCTGACTGGAGCCATAACTGTTTGGTGAATAAGAGCTTTTAGGGTTGATGTGAATTTCAGCTTTTCAACGTATTTTTAAAACTTGAGATGAAGTGTTCTAGTCCATAGGATTTGAGTAAAGATGTGAGCTGGGATGTGTAACACATCCCAAACCACATCCCACTCTTCCCCAAACCCTTTCTGCTGTGGTGTAATGCTGAACACTGTACAAGCAGCTCTAGTATTGAATTTCTCAGCTTTTACAATTTGTGTGCTGCTGAATTCTCAAAGAGAAATCAGGAACTGTAACTTTAGGCCTTTTCTTTTTAGTTTCCCATAACTCCAGGACTTGTGCAATTCTGGTTTACTGATGCTTTCGTGCATTCCTCACTTCCCAATCCACGCAAACAGCTGCTGGCTGCAGCAGCTTTCAGCAGGAACTGGCAGGAGGCTGAAATACGCCCCTCGCTCCTCCTTTGGAGCAGCAGTCCCAGCACAGGAAATATTTTTCCACTCTGATGGGGAAGTGGATGTTGGAGCACGCGACGCTCGTGCAGCCAGCCCGGGTACCTTCACGTGTGGTCCAGGATTCACAGCACTGCTGCCACCCCGGGGTGAGGGACAGGCTGTTGTCACCCAGCTGTCGCCCCAGCGAGTGTGAGGTGGCACGGGAAGGAGGTGGCTTTTCTGCTGCGGTGTCTGCTTGTTTCAATTTCCTGCTGCTGTTTCCGAAAGGAAGGAAAACGAACTGCTGACTCCCTTCTCACAGCCTCCCTCTTCTCTGCTCTGCGTGTGGCTGCAGATATTTGGTAACAACTTTGGGGGGGAAAACGATGTTGGTTCTGTATTTGGGGTTCAGAGCACCTAGTGCAGGTGGGTGGGACAGAAAATGCCACAGCCTGGCTTCTGCTCTGAGTCGAGCATGGATGATGCTGGTGATCCTTGAGCTGGAAGAGTGTTGGTGTGAAACCTGCCATAAAAAGAAGTGCCAGAGGCAGGTGTTGGATTTGATACCTTAAGTCTTAATTTGCTGTTTTGAGCAGTGAAGTTACTGTCCTTGGTGTGTTAGGCAGGAATGGATTACAAGGAAAAGATTAATAGCAGAGACCAGGGTAGGATCGTGGTGCTCTGGAGTGGTTTGTCACCAGGACCAGTTGAGCTGGGGGTGTTGTGTAAAATCTCAGAGCAGCTCAAAACTAATTTACACTGAATTCCTGGGGAAACTGTTGCCTTCCTCTTATAAATGCAGACGTGTGGGTGTGTCTGTTCTGTGCTCACTCTCCTCTGTCTTTTTTAAGCTATCAAGCCACATGGGCACGACGGATGGGATGCTCCACGGAGCGTGGGATCTTCCCCATCCGGCAGGGATGTCATTCTCTGTGCAGATGGCATCTTCCAGTGGAAGCCACCCACTGCTGCTCTGCCTCTTGGGAGACCTGAACTTCTCCATTGGATGGGAAGGAAGCTCACGGCTCCCTGCTGACTGCTGGGAGTTAAGCGAGCAATCAATGACGTGAGACCTCGGAAAGGAGAAGGCGAATTTATTTTAAAACAAAATGAGTTTCATTCATTCACAGCCAAGCCCACCTACACACGAGCACCAACGTGGGGCTCTCCAAGTGGTTGTCCAGCATTTGGGCAGATGTGTGTGCAGATAGTTTGGGCTGGATTCCTTGGAATGACACAATAGACAAGGAATGTCAAATATCAGACCTCTGGTGTCTTTCGGTGATCATGTGATGCCTTTGGATCTGTTCTTTTTACATCCCTTGGAGGCTGAGAGTAGTGATCTCTTCTTGTTGGAATTTATTCACTGTTAGTTTGTGTCTTTGTCTGGTTTTAGGGCTCCTACCCTTTCTCTGTTCTCCAAATCATCTCTTAAGGGCTTGAGTCTCTAGTGCTGATTGTCCCTTGTTTCAAGATGTTCCTTTTTTTCCAACCTGAGAAGCTGCAAATAGGTGTGCTTTGATCTTGAGGACCTACTAAATCAGTGCCCTCAGCACAGGCAGCACAGCTTGATTATGCCCTGTGTTCCTCCTGGTTCTCTTGTACTCCTTCCCATCTGTTTTTTTTGCTGGGATCACACTGAACTAAAGAAGAGCCTGTACTGTGATTTGCAAAGTGTGCATTAAGAGTTGTCTTCTGGCTTTGTTTGCATGTGTAATGCTGCACAGGAGTCACAGGACTGATCCTGAGCCAAAACTAAGTGGTCAGAAGCCTGACTGGAGCTGATGGTGTAGCCCTGGAGCTCAGATCAGTGTGAAGAGTTCGGGAACCATTTGTGTAACTCAGTCATTTCTGTGAATGAGTGTTTGGCCAGCATTTGGCAGCTGACATTGGGGCGGTCAGTGTGATGCTGCCAGGAGCAGTGCTGAGCATGGGGAAGGGGCAGAATGGCAGCTAGCCTTGGCACGCTGCTGGCTGGGGAGTGTCTGTCAGAGCTCATGCCAAGGCTTACAGGTCTGCCTGACACAGATCAGCAGTGCTCTGGGATGGTTTGGTACAGATCTGTGGTGATTGTACCAAATATTGTTTGTGATGCCACAAACCATAGGAAACAGAGTCTCCCTGAAGAGTGTTTGCCCTCAATTAGCAGAAGTTGCCAGCACTGGCAGGGAGTGAGTGGTGGCACCTCACTCACCCTCAGCCAGAGGGTTTTGAGGCCAGTCTGGGTCTCTGGAGTCTCTTAAGTTCATAGCGAACATCCTCTGTGAAAGTCAGAGCTTGTTTCCCTCTCAGATGGCTTGTGTGATGTGGGTGTGCCTGGGGACATCCACAGTGGGTGGGGCGATTCGGGACACCATTCTCAGCTCCCTGTGCTCTCTGTTTCTTGCTGCAGGTCCTCAGGAGAAAATGGTGTAAGGCCATCTCAGCTGCCACTTCCAATCGCGGCGTGCCCGGAGCTCAGGGAGAAGCATGGCAGCAGCTCAGGGAGCGGGAAGCGGTTCAGCCGGGCCGTCCGGCCCGCCCGGTTCTGCCCCGGGGCACAGCAGCAGCTCCACGGCAGTGGCCGTGTGGGAGTGGCAGGATGAATTTGGCAGGTGGAGGCCGTACCGAGGCAATGTCTGCAGCTACATTGAGCAGGTTATCCAGGCCTCTCAGCAGAAGGGCCGGCGCTCAGGCTCGGGGCTGGTCAGCAGCATCCCTTTGGGACATGCGGATCCCGCCTTGGCTCCCTATGTCATCGACATTCCAAGCCTGACACAATTCCGGCAGGATACAGGTAAGGGAGTTTCCCCACCCGTTCTGTTGATGTGCTTGGGGACAAGCAGGGCCTTGTTCTCTGTGTGAGAGCCCTGCAAAGCTCTGCTGTTTGCTACCATGCTGGGCAGCTCTGTCAGCACATCTACTGCTCTCCTGCTGTCTGTGGAGCTGGTTGCAGGCAGACAGCCATGATCTCTTCAGGAGTATCATCATGGGAGCCCTGGAGCTCCCAGCCTGTGAGCCAGAGCTCTCAGAGCTGGAAACTTCCCCCCCCTCAATCCATTCAAGATCACTTGCGTAGAAAGGCCTTTTTACGATTCCAACCCTCCCGCTTGAATCCCTTGCTCCCTCTGGAGTTGGAGTGCCAGCTGCTTTACCTTGGCATGCAGCCCTGCTCAAGCTGCCTGCGAGTGCCTGCGGCCTCCGCACGACACCAAAATGCTGCAGCAGAATATTCCCTCCACTTGTGCTGTGTGAGCCCGGCTCGCTTCCTCCCAGGGAGAAAGGGCAGGGTGGGCTCAATCGCAGAAATTAGACCTGATTTTCATTCTCCTCTCCCCTGGGGTCACTGGGAGTAGCAGCTCAGAATTTGCAGAGACGACTCCTGCCCTTTTTTGCTCCAGATGTGCTGAGCAGCTGGAGCTTAGAAAAGGGGCAAGGATGGAATGCGTGCACTTCATCCCTGGAAAATCCAGGGAGATCCCAAATTACACACCCCAAATGAATGGCTGCTTTGGAAAATTTTCCAACCATCAGTTTCCCCTTTGTCAATGTCTCTCCCATCACTCCAGGATGCAGTTGAGCATCATCCCAAGCTTTAAAGAGGGCCATGTGTTGGTTTCTTGCCAGTTGAAACAGTAAATGAGCAATATTTTGAATCAACTGCATGATCAGCCAATTCTGGCAGGAAAGGGAAGTGGTTGGAGCAAATGTGAGTGGTCATCACAGCTGCATCCGTGTTTTTATCCTGATTTGGCAACCTTAGGCTGAATTTATCTAGTGGTGTCCTGGGTGAGGTGAGGAGCTTTCTAAGCTGGATGCCGTGGCAGGTGTGCTCAGCTTGGCGTGTTTAAACATCTGGAAGGCCAGCTGAGGCTGTGGCTTTGAGTGGTGCAGCGTGGACCACCAGAGCTGGCATCAGTAGCTGTTTCTCTCCTGTTTTTTTCATGCCAAACTTGTGAAGGAGCCTTCCAGCCTCTGGCTCTTTCAGCCAGTGCTCCAAGCTGTGGACAGCAGTCCTAAGCTGTCTGGTGAAGGTGAGCAGAGAGCCTGTGGGGTGGGGGAAACGTGTCCCAGTGCAGCTGTCTGTCCTTTGAGGGTTTGTATCTCTTTAGACCCTTCTGAAAGATCTCAGAACACTCAGTGACTATTGTTCATTGGAGGATGGTTTGGAGCTGTTCATCTCTGGGGGACAGTCCAGTTCAATACTGGAAATTATTTTGGCTGGTATGATCTCATTCTTTCCTTGGTTTAGATCTGAGTTTCAGTTGTTAATAACAAAAAGGCTGATTCTGCTCCACAGCTCTCCTGCAGTGTTTCCCATTGATCCAAAGGGATGCTGATCAGAGGGGCCAGTGCTGTGAACCTCCCTCCACAAATACCTGTGTGCTCTGCAACGTGACTGTTGGAAAAGCTCTCATATCCCCTTGCCATGGCCCAGTTCTAGGCAAAGCTTTTTCTCTCTGCAAGGCTCTGCCTTAAACGTGAACCTTTCTGAGCAAGCCGCCAGCTGAACTTTGTCATGTGCTGGAGAAAAGAATCTCTACAGGAAACATCCCCATGAAAAATCTTTAAACAGTGCAAAAAATAGGCTGTTGTATTCTGCTCATTAGCTATTAGACAGATAAATAGGCTCTTCAAAGGAAGCCAGGGAGAATAACAGGAAGCCAGTGTTAACGGGAGCAGCGTCCCCAGCAGCAGGGAATGACAGCTGTGCGGGGGGATCTTGTGGGCAGGATTAGCTGTGGGCTTCAGCTGCTGCTCAAGGCAGATTAGCTGGGAGTGAGTACAGGGGAGCAGCAGGAGTTGTCCTCTCACCACAGCTGTTTGCCCACCCTGGAGAGGAATGCCCGTTTCTCTGCCAGCCTGGGGGAAGGGAGATGTTTTCCAAGTGCATTGCGTTGGTCTTGTTGACTCGTAAAAAATCTTTCTACTGCTGTTTGAGGGTGTTAAAAACACAAGTTGCTTGCAAGTCCTGCAGTCCTCTTTGTGCTGCTTTTAGCTTCTGAGCTGCCAATGGAGCAGGGGAAGCCTTGCTAACCTCTTGAGATGTGTCCCACTGGACACCGTGCCTTACCTGTAGTAGTCCCCTTTCTCTGGGAGCAGGTTCCCTCCACTCATTTCTAAATGTAATGCATATCTCACCATCTCATTCCCAGTCAGTCCCATCCCTAGTCCTCCTCCTGCTCAGGGGTTCATTCCTGAAGTTATCCACCTTTGAGGCTGTTTGTGTTTCTGAAACTTGGCAGGACTTGCTGGATAGGAGCAGTCATTTGCTTTTGGCTGTTTAGTGTGCTTTTCCACCAAGACATCAATTCCAGGCTGGGAAGATCTGCTGATAGTTTCTGCCAGAGGAAGGTCTGGTCCCACAGGAATCATAAGCTCCATGGTTGAGCTATTGGGTAGGTTGCTGTGTTGGACTGGCTGCTAGTAGCGTTTTAAGTGTGCTGAGATGTTGTTTGTTGGCTGGTGTCACTGGAGAGTCCTGCTCTGCAATAAGCAGGATGCTTGGTGCTGCTCTGGAGCAGAAACACAAGTCCTGGCATTCCTTGGTCCTGCACATTGTGCCTTTGAGAGAGCCTTAGCCTTTGTGTCAGCTCTGGAGCTTCAGCAATGCTGGGATAAGGAAACACAGTTTTCACAGCTATTGGGTACAATAACAGCAGCATGATCCTCATGGCAGCATGCAGTCAGGCAGAGCCTGAATGCAGCAGCAGCTGGATTTTTGGCAGTGTGGAGTCCCACGTGGGCTGTCCTCCCTCTTCTTCTGGATGTGCTTGTTGGGTGTGAAGCTTGCCTGGATTGCTTGTGCCCCACAGAGTCTCCAGCGATACTCTGGGGTAGTTCTCCTCAGGCTTTAGGTGTGGGTACTTGTAAACATGCCAGATTTCACCTGGGGTTCTGGAACATAATGCCATAACTCTCATGACCTCTTTAGAGGCTTTATTTTACTTTCTTTTTTTTTTTCTCTTGGTGCTCTTCTTTGAACTCCTCCTGTGTTGTTACAACTCGCTCTCCTGTTCAGCCTCACCTTCCTAGATCCCCAGACTTGCTTTCCTCACAGCTTTTCCCGCTCCTCTTCCTCTGTGCAGAATGCTGCTGAGGCTTTTTCCTGCAGTAGCCGTTTTGACCCTGCTGCAAGAACCCATTTTTCAAAGGTTACAGAGCTTCTGTCCTTTTGGGTGGCTTCCTTCCCTCTCATTAGGCTGCTGCTTTTTTGAAGTAGGGGATAAAGTACCCCGGAGTGAAGTCATCCTGGAAAGCCAGGCTTCCAGGGAGTTCGAGCTCCAGCTGTCACTGTCGAGCGGCCTTGCAAGAGTAGTGTTTCTCCTTCCATTTCTCTCCCTTTGTCTCAACAGCTGCTCTCTCCTGTTTTCAAGTTTCTTCATTGTCTTCCCCTTTCTAGTCTTGCTCTCTCTCCCAGCAGTCAGGAGCCTGCAGAAGTTTGCCCTTCTCCAAAGTCCTTGCCCTTGCCCCCTTGTGGGACTTCACCCACTCTCCCGAGACCAAAATTGCCCCGACCCTTGTGCAGACCCTTGTGTAACAAAGTGGGCGTTCAGCCCCTTAAGTGCTCCTACAAAGCACTTCCCAATGGTGTCTTGTCTCTATAGTTACTCTGTTGTCAAGGCTGTGGGAGTTGGGGTTTTTTTTAACCAGATCTGTGCCTCAGCCTGAGTTTTTTTTCCCCTTTTTCCTTTTTTTCTCCCTTTAACGTCAGGGAGGCATATGTGATCACTGTGCCTTTGTGCTTGGGTGTGTCTGCGTCTGCATCCTCTCTCCTTCCCTCCTTTCCCACCCTTCCTCTTTGCAGCTTTTGAACCTGCTGCCAGCCCACAATCAGATTTGGCAGAGGGACAGGGATCTCAGAGATGTTGCGTTTTTCTAAGCTTCATGAGCAAACCCAACCCTGTTGGGAAGAGAAGATCTTTTAGTGCCCCTCTTGAGGGAGAATGAGAAAGGCCACCCCAAAGTAGGCAGCATGGATCTGTGCAGAAACAAATCCCTGTGACAACATCCCTCTTAGTTCTCTGCTGGCTAAATGGTTGTGTTTCTTCTCCCCTCCTCTCCCACACAGGGACGATGCGGGCTGTGCGCAGGCACGTCTTCCCAGGGGACTCTGCTGCCGGGCAGGGCATCGTCTGGGAGTGGCAGAACGACGAGGGCGGGTGGTCCCCGTACGAGATGAACGTCTGCGTGTTCCTGGAGCAGGCCCGTGCCACCAACCACCAGCGAGTGGATCTCGGGCCCTTGGGCTACAACTACGAAGTTGACT